ATCATGAATAATATTGGTCGCGAAAGCTAAGGGTTAAACTGAGGTGTTAAGATGTTCAAATACCAAAATAGACACCTATCACAAGGCATCAAGTATGCATAACCCCACATCACGCTTTGTGGTAAAACAGGCAAACGAACACGAGCATGTTGTGTGTTGTGTGGTTAACTCAGACTTGAAGTATGTATGTTGAACTTCTTTTGCACCGTACGTAGCCAACCGTGCTAATCGGAGGTGCGGGGAAAGGGCAAAAAACTAAACACAAAAAAACTGTAAAAAATAAACGAGTTTTCAAATGAGAGAAATACGTTTTCAATTGAGATGCCTTGTGATAGATGTCTATTAGGCGTTTGAACATCTTGACACACATTTTAGTAACGTGTTTTGCCCCAAAAACTCAATTATGGGTTATGATACTTAGTTGCGAAAGCCCACGTGCTGGATTCAACAGTCGTTGCCCTTCCAAAAACGTGGCCTCCAAAGGAACCGCTGTGCTGAATGTCTTCAAATTGCAACAGAGTAGCATGAGCCAAATCGGAAAAAATTACCCAAGGGTGTTTAGCCCCGTTCAGAACGCGTGCGGAGTAACGCCCCCCTCGGGGCCTCCTGCTGCCAACACAAATACGAACAGCTCGCAAACATTCACCTGGCCGAGAGAACTTCAGTGCATCGGTGGTGTTCTCAGAAAAGTGTAAATCATCTTGATTCATCCACGCGTCGTTTCATTATCGGTGGATAAACACCTAAAAGCCACTAAGTCTCAACACTGTTTGTCGGGATGTGTTTTTTTCTCGGATGAAACCAGAGCGTGCCTGTAAAAGCAACGCAACGCTAACGAATAGAATAAATTCAAAGCTGTTAGAACCCGATTTGCTGTCCGCATCACACAACAATCGCCATGCATTGCGGGTGGGTATTTAACGCACGCGATCTCCGATTGACCCACCAACGCTGGCCACGGGTTCACAAGATCGCAAGCGTTGCAACACACCAGCAGTCTCGGGTTGCCACCTGCCCTGGTGTTCCAGGGATTAGTCCTCTAGTTGAGGGAGCTGCTGTCCTGGGGACTCAGTCTTCCCGGGGACACGATACGGGACACGATATGGGACTCCGGGCTTTTGCTAGTCGGGTACTGACGCGCATTCTGGCCTATTCCGGTATCGTCAGACTGCCCTTCTTTTTCTTCTTCCAGTTATTTTTTTGTACCTTCGGAGAGGGGGGGGGAGGTGGCAACCCTGCACCAGCTTATACCCCAGTTTAACATTAGTAAAAAACAACAATTGCCCGTGTACCCTTTTAAGATACTTTTGGGGCAAGTGTTAGCGAGTAGCACCTATGAAGGCCGGCACGGCACACGAGGGGGTGGGTGGGCCAGCACCATGCCCGGCCGCCTTTGTCTCCCTAGTGGCGATCTTTACACACCACACCAAGTACTCATTTGAGGCTGAGTCGACTTAGGGGAGGTCCAGTAGCGGTTCAGATAATCGTCAATGGTATTGGTCGTGAGCGGGAATCGAACTCGAGTCGCCGGGTATGTAGCGCAACGCACTAACCACTACACTGCCACCCCCCACCACCACCAACAACAACAACCGCCATTCGCCACTAAGTGGCGGTGACGTCACCACGGCGCTTGTGTCAGGCTAGGTGCACGTTGAGGCCACGTGAAGTGTCGGAGGTCACGGAACACACCCACACACACACACGCGCGCGCACAGTACTTCAGTTGACACAAGGGGACGCAGATAACAGAGCGGCGAGTGGGTGAGTGTTGGGGGGGGGGGGGGTGCAATCTGTTGGTGTTTGCTGTAAGATAACCGGAGCAATAAACGCGCGGCAGGTAACAGGGACACGGCGGCTGCCTCTCGGTGCCCTTCGCACGCGAGGCGCGTCGCGTGCGAACGGGGCCGGGGATGAAGTCACGTGGGGGGGCTTTAGGGGGCTGCTGCCCAAAGGCATCCGCCAGCTGGAGCGGCCTCCAGAGATGAAGTGAAAAGTTATTTTATTTGTGAATGCAGATTTTTCATTTGTTGTTAGCCTTGTAAAAATACATTATATTTCTCTACGTTATTATATTTGTCTTTAACTATGATTGCTTTTTCATTTTGGTGATTTCGAAAAGTGAATTGGTTTAGCCATGCTTGTTTGTTGTAGTACAGAGTTAGACTGATGGCCTTAATCTAAGTTGTCTTGTGGTTGTTGTTGTTGTTGTTGTTTGACTTGCATACCACTGGGATTTTTGCACACAGCGTTGGTGTACGGTGATTTTTTTGCAATCTTTTGCTGTCTTTTCTTAGATTTTCTGTTTGCACTTAGTCACATATTCACTTTAAGATGTTTTTTGTTCATGTTTTTGTTTGTTTGTTGCGGTTGCACCCGATTCAAGAGCCGAATGGCTCACAGGGCTACACCTAGTACATGAACTTGAACTTGTTTTCCTTTTGAATATATTACTGGGGGGGAGGGGGGGCCCAGGGGCCTACAACATCTGAATCCGGCCCTGGGTGCGAAAGAGCTGCCAGTGGAAGGGGCCCTGCACACGGGGGGGGGGGGGGGGGGGCATCGGCTCGCCTCGCTCCGCGCACTCTGAGCTCGCCGCGAGGAGGATGTAACATTTCAGCCGCGTGGATTTGTTGTTGAGCAACGGTGGGAGTGGTGGGGCGGCGGTGAGAGTGGGGAGGTGGATGAATGGTTACCAGCCCTGCCTCAAACGTTGAACTCCCCCCCACCACCCCCGCAAGTGCTTTACATCAGCAGCAGCAGCAACATAACCACCTCCTTACTAAATTTCGATTTAAAGCTTTCGTGACTGCAGGGATTAATCTTCTTGGTTCTTTCGGTAAAGTCACGTAGAAGGGAAATAATAAAATAAAACAAATAAAACATAAGAAAAAAATAAATAAAAGAATATATGATTATGCTTTATTTATCTTATTTTATTATTTCCCTTCTACGTGACTTTACTGAAAGAACCAAGAAGACACCTCCTTACTCTTTGGTTCTTTCTGTAAAGTAATGTTTCAAAACAGTCTGCCTGAGCAGCAGACCACGCTTTCCCACCTGATGATGGACGCTTGTGTTGCGCCCGAAACGTCGTGATTTATTTTATTTTCTACCCACGTGACTTTACCGAAAGAACCAAAGAGTATGGATTCCTGCAGTCACGAAAGCTTCAAATCAAGATTGAACCACCTCCTTGTTCATTGCGAGCGACGTTTGATGAACGCCATGACATTTTGAAGAACAGCTTTGCTATCTCACACCTGCCTACTACCAACGTGGCTCAAGAATAATACAAATAAAAAAAGTGTTTGATCAGTGCAAGTTGGTGAGATGTTATCTCTCTCGCCTGGTACGCAAGAAGGTTCGTGGGCTCGATCCCGACCCTGGCTCCCGTATATAGAAACACGCGTTTAGATTACAGTATTTGGTTGCAAGAAATGCCCAGGTATTTTTTTTTAAAAGCTAATAGCTCTGTAGATTTTACCTGGTAGATAAAACAGCTTCTTTTGCGGGATGGGGTAGAACAAAAAACAACAACCGCAGATGGCAATCATCCAACAGCGGAGTCCCAAAGGGTTGTACATCTTTATCAATGTTATAGCAACACCACCGTGCATGCCGTGATGGGTCCAGAGTATGTATGCTGAACTTCTTTCGCGCCGTACGTAGCCAACCGCGCTATTCGGAGGTGCGGCATGACAAGGGTGACGTGTGTGCGCATTCGCGTTTATGAGACGTTTCACTCCGTCAATGGCATCGTCTATCAATGAATGACATCAACTTGGGTAGAGGCAGCTACTGGGTGAATGATTGCATCGTAGGATCGTGACAGGTGACGGTGGCTTTTGGGGTAGGCCATCATCCAGCAGTGGAATGACCATTGCCGATGACGAATGGCACAATAGTAAATCAGTTGACGCAGATTCAAACGAAAAACTTCAACTGAAAAAATCTAGAAAAACTTGTGGGGAAATCCACAGATATGTCTTTCATTTGCAGTCAATAGCCATCCGCTAATTGGGGCAACGGTCCGGTGGCTTTGAAGTGCGCTTGGATCTCAGCCCCCTCCCTATTCCACTCCCACCCACCTCGAGCCCGAGGTGCTTCACCTGCTCCTGCCCCCACCCACGTGACGAGCTGTGTGTGTGACGTATTGATCACTCTGGGTGTACGTGACGTATTGATCACTCTGGGTGTGCGTGATGTATTGATCACACAGGGTGTACGTGATGTATTGATCACTCTGGGGTGCGAGTAGCGGTTCTTTGATGTCGTCTGATGGCCGAGTGGCTCCCTGTAAAGGAGCTTCTGAGCTCAATGGGGTTGTATTTACCCTTCTGATTCTGGATTCCTCAAAGCCAGGAGGTGCCGGTGTTTGTATCTCGAATGCGGTGTCTTAACGCCTGGACGCCCACGCCGTTCCAACAGCGCTCGCCAAAAGCAGCGTTCCTCCGGATCTGCCCGTGCGATCCTTGGGACGGTGACCGGAGCAGCAGCAGCAGCAAGCAGCAAGCAGCAGCAGCAAGCAGCATCAGCAAGCAGCAGCAGCAAGCAGCAGCAGCAAGCAGCAGTAAGCAGCAGCAGCAAGCAGCAGCAAGCAGCAGCAGCAGCAAGCAGCAGTAAGCAGCAGCAGCAAGCAGCAGCAGCAAGCAGCAGCAGCAAGCAGCAGCAGCAAGCAGCAGCAAGGGCCCTTTAGCGGTGGCGAACGTCTCCGTCCAGCGTTGGGTCGCCGCGCGTAAGGCGCGCCAGTCGAAGCAGTGATGTTGCGATCGCAGTTGTGGAAACGAGACCAGTGGCCCTGGTGAGTGGGGATGGGACGAAGGAGAGGGCTCCGGGGGTGGCGAGAGGAGGAAAGGCGTGTCCCGCAACTGTTATAGATGCAGAGGCGCGGTGGCAGCGGTAGAATCAACAGCGGCGGCCGTAGAAGCACCGGTGGGTGGCTCTTCAACCTGCGCAAGAGAGCGAGACACACAGAGACAGGTAGACAGAGAGAGACACAGAGAGACAGAGAGAGAGACAAAGAGAGAGACAGAGAGAGATACCCGTCGGAGGCCGTCGGACTGCGAGAAGGGTTGCGTGCAGAACGAGAGAGAGCGAGAGAGTGAGCGAGAGGTGGGGAGTTACATAAAGCAAAGTTATAAAAAAAAAATTACGAAATGATGAACGAAGCAAAGTGCCGACTACACCGAGCATCTTCTTGTTTCCACTGATCGTAAAAAAAAAAGAGACAGAGAGAGAGACAGAGAGAGAGAGACAGAGAGAGGGACACAGAGAGACAGAGAGACACAGAGAGACACAAAGAGAGAGAGACACAGAGAGAGAGACAGAGAGAGACAGAGGGCGGCGGGGGATTTCTCGGTCCATGCGGCAGACGGAGCAGGGGAAGCTTCCTCGCCTCGTGAAGGTTCGTGCCTAAACGCGGCATCCCATCGCCCCCCCCACACACCAACCCCACTCGCTCGCTCGCTGTGAGTAACGTTTACCCTGCCACACACGCAAAACAAGACAACGATTCCCCGTATAGCCTTGACAGACCGTTGGGGCGAGTGCTGTGAGTTAGCGAGCACTTATGATGACCGGCACGCTACACTCCCTAGTGGCGATGCATACACACCGCGCCAGGTATGTCATTTGAGGCTGAGTCGACCTAGTGGAGGCCCCAGGACCGTCTCAGATTATTATCGTCACTGGGTGTTGGCCGTGCGCGGGGAGATTCGAACTCCCCACATCACGCAACACAACACAACGCGGTTACGACGATGTACGTACGTTGAACTTCTTTCGCACCGTACGTAGCCAAGCGCGTGATGATCAATGCCAAGCCTCGCGCAGTGCGGGGACGACCCCTCACGCCCTGCCATCGTCACACCAAGCGCAGCGCACCGCCCGCTTGCGCCAATCCATTGCTGGATTGAGGGCCTGTTCATCTTGACCATACTTCACCACGCCGGTTCATAGCCGGTTGGTGAATGCGGTGAGCATAGAAGTACAGCGCCACATTTGACCTTGCTGCTGCTGCTGCACTCTGCGGCGTGACACGCAGAGCAGCAGCGAGCCTATAGCACCTGGCAGAGGTGATAACAACAATAAAATAAACACTCAACGCATTCGTCAATGACGCCGCGTGCGTGCGGCCTTGAAACGGGAAAAAAGTAAACTGTAGGAGACGTTTCCGGCAGTGGCCCTTTGCAGCACACAGAGAGGCCGGAGCGGTCGTTGTGCAGTCCTACGGGGTGCACCACAGAGAATCGTGCCGTGGATGCCTACCGTGTCAACCCAAACGGTACCCCGCATTCTTGTGCAGGGAAATTGAGTTTTCAGGTCCGTTTGGCGTACAGCAAAAAAAACGTACATTTTTTTGTGTTTCTCCCTTGTGATGGGACTGTGTAGGATGAACGTTGAGATTTCTAAGGGCACGGGGTGACCATTGAGGTCTGAGTTAGTCGCTAATAAGGTAGGGGGCACTGATAAGGGGTTGACTGCCATGTGGAAGTGTTGTCCATCCAGCAGTGCAAGTGGCTTCACCGCGGCCGATCGGCTGGGCGCGTGTGGTGGGGTAAAGTGTGGGCACTCCTACCTCCAACAAGAATGCCTCGCCAGCGTGGAAGAGTAGGCTAAATACCCCCCCCCCCCCCCAGATTTACCTCTCGTGGAGGTCCTAGCAAGGAATTGCAGGGCTTCGCCTTATTTACCTCTGGACGGTGGAACTGGCGACGTTTTGATGCACAGTCCAGCAGAGTGCGATCACCGGTGTATCTCTCTTCTAGTATGAGGAAGACGCATTGGGGAGCCGTGCACTTTTAAATCATCCAGATTAAAAACGCATTTCTTTATAAACGCTTTGTGTTTAGTTTGATCTTCCCCCCGCACCTCCGATAAAGCACGAAGTACGGTGCGAAAGAAGTTCAACATATGGGTACATACAAACTTACTGCACATGTTCTCCCCCCCTTCAATCGCCAAGCTTCACGTCGCCGCAACTGAAGTTGAACGCCGGCAGTATAGCGAAGAGGTGTGTTTGTGGCACAGAGGTGCAGGAGTTGATTGTTGTGCCATGAGGTTTCCTGGCCTTGAGCGGTGACGGCCGCGTTCACGTTCGCACGGCCACGTCGGTGTTGATAAAGGCATTTGTCAACAAGGGAACTTTCCTACGTGTAAATATTCGCCTTGATATATCACGCGAAGGCAAGTGTTGTTATCAATTGAGACTCAAGATATTTTGGGGCGTTGTTGTGACACGTGCTGGAGAGAGAGATGGAGCTGATGCGGTACGAGAGGACGTGGAGCTGAGTGGACTTGCCGAAGACCGATGCCATCGGTGTCAGAATTGGCCTCTATGGAGGAGGCTCGTGAAGGACGCTGCTGCTGGGCAGTTGGAGACAGTCGCCCTCCAACAACAACGGAGGGTGGAGGAGCGACGTTCACAACAACGAGCGGAGCACCGGGTGGATAAAAGGCAGCAAGTTGGCACAGTAGAGGGTACAGATGGTGCATCTACCAGTCGTCTCAGTCGGCCAACCCATGGCATCTGGGTCTGTCCCGAGACCTCCTGTGAGCGAGCCTTCGACACTTCACATGGCCTCAAAGTGCACCTAGCCGGGCACAGGCACCGTGGTGATGTCACGTCACTTATCACCGAATGGCGAGTATTGGTATTGGAGTGCCAAACTGATTGCCAAACAGTTTGTAACAAATTGCCATGTTTTGTTTATATTACAACCCTTACTAATTGTCTGTGGCGGGTTTAACGACACATTTTTATTCACGCGGTCAAACTCTCAAAAGAACCTCATGGATAATAGTGGTTGCGAAAGTCTACGTGTTAAACTATGTTGCACCCCTTTCGCACCGTACGTAGCCAACCGTGCTAATCGGATAGATTTTGTAAAGTTCCCCATGACGAGAAGATGGGTCGCACAGCAGGTGGAGACGTTTTAGGCAGTCTTTATTCGCACCGGTACAGCAGCGCACAAGAAGACTACGTGAAATTTCGATTTAAAGCTTTCGTGACTGCAGGGATTCATCTTCTTGGTTCTTTCGGTAAAGTCACGTAGAAGGGAAATAATAAAATATATGCTGCCAAGCGTGGTGGTGCCCATTCAGACGCTGTCTTTCCGACAGACCTGTTCTTCACCTGAGGACGGCTGCTTGCGTTGTGGCCGAAACGTCGTAAGAATTATTTTATTAAGTCTTTATTTTATTATTTTATTATTTCCCTTCTACGTGACTTTACCGAAAGAACCAAGAAGAAGACTACGTTAACGATGCGAAATGCAACGACAAAGTTACGAGAAACGGCCACCGTTGATATCGCTGGATTCTGGCACGATCTTCGATGTGCAGCAACGCCTCCCATCCAGCCACAATCGCCTCCTTTGATGCTCTTCTTGCAGCAGCTCCCAGGCAGCAGCAGCAGCAGGAGCAGCGCGTAAACCTCGCGCACAACGACGCTTATTCAGGCTAATTTTCACGGTAGAGTGTACGAAGGAAATACTCCTCGGGGACTCTGACACTGCTAAAGCATCGACGGCAGCGGAGGTAATGCGGGGATCGCCCAATGTTGCTCGTCAAAGAAAGATCTCCGTTGTGTGCCGTGCACTCTGAAGTTGCTGCCGCTCGTGAGATTGTGTGGCTCTAAGTCAAAGCCATTGTGGATTTTTTTAACTTCTGAGCACAACACTGCTTTTTAAAAATTAAACCATTTAAATTTACGCGATATATTTTGCCATACCGTAGAGAAATGCAATTTCCACCACAGAGCTGTAACCAAGTGATAAGTATAAGGTTTAATAATATTTTTTACTAAATAGTTTGCCTTGATGTTTTGACGTCTTATTTTTTTTTTTGGGGGGGGGGGGGGGTCTGTGTTGACTCACGCAGGCATCCAATCTCAGAAAAAAACAACATGAAGGCCGCGTTTCTGCCCAAGTCTGCCGAGTCGTCGCTCACTGCCGAGATGCTGCTCGTGGCCTCGGCACTCTGCCTCCTGCTCGTCTACGTGACCGTGAGGAGGTGGAGCTCCAACCGACCGTCGCCGAAAGGGAAACCCATCCCTGGGCCAACCCCGTGGCCCATCGTCGGCAACATGCCGCAGGTCGGCCTCAACCCGCACGAGACGCTCACGCAGATGAGGGATCGCTACGGCGACGTCTTCCTCATCCGCCTGGGCTCCGTCCCCGTGGTGGTGATCTCCGGCCTGGACACCACGAAGCGGGCGCTGGTCAAGCACGGCGACGCGTTCGCGGGGCGGCCGGCGTTCTACACGCTGGGGCTCATCGGCGGAGGCAACACGCTCTCCTTCTCCCCCCAGTACGACGACGTCTGGAAGGCGCGCAAGAAGCTGGCGCGCAACGCGCTGCGTAAATTCTGCGCGGCGCCCTCGGGGGCTCCGCCGTTCCCGTGCCTCCTGGAGCGTCACGTGTGCGAGGAGGCGGCCGAGCTGGTGCAGGTGTGTCGCGGCGGGGACCCGGCCGGCTTCGACCCCGTGCCCTCCGTCACGTGCGCCGTCGCGAACGTGATGTGCGCGCTCGTGTTCGGCAAGCGCTACCGGCACGGGGACCCCACCTCTTGCGCGTCGTGGAGTTCAACAGGGACATCTCGCAGCTGACGGGCGCGGGGAGCCTGCTCGACTTCTTCCCCGTCCTGCGCTACCTCCCCAACCCGTCCTTGAAGGCGTTTAAAGCCATCACCGGCAGGCTGCAGGCTTTCATGGAGGGAAACATCAAGGAGCATTACGGCACCTACCAGAAGGTTTGATGATGGAGAGACACTCTGACGTTGATGAACGTTGTCAAGTGTAACATCCTCGTTGCTTAGCCCGAGTTTCACGCCCCCCCCCCCCCCCCCCTGAAGTCCATATTTTCTCCACACAGACACTATAACAGGTCTCAGCATGGTTTGGATAACTGTCAAGAGCAATTGGATGTCAAGGATTATTACCCGAATTGTATTGTTGATCATGACTGTTAATATTAGGTTCCATTGCTGTATTTTGCCCCCAATATGAGGGACGTGTTAAGCTGAACATTTGGCTAAATAAGTAATATTTAAAAAATACTTTTTAAAAACAAGCTTTAATGAAATGTACCGTACTCGTAATGGCAGAACTCCACGACTCCAGGAAGTGGCCCCGAAGCTTGCCATAACGTAAGTTCCCGTGGTGATTTACAGCCAACATTAGTTGAGCGTGGACAATTAGACCCAAGCCGAAACATAACATATAAAAAGGATTGTTTAAAAATATATATATATTTTATTTTTAATGATAGAATATGGTATTGTCATCAGTATGACATAATGTATACAAGTTTGCAGTTGATACGACATTGGGAAGTGGGTTAAAATTAAGTTGCAAGATTTGAGGATACGACAGAGTGAATTAAATAAAAGCGTGTAGTAATAATGAAAACGCTGAGGCTCGTTGGCTGTGCCCACAGATTCCCTGGCTTCACTTTCACGGCCGTTTCCGCATACTGCGTCGGATGGGAGTCAATCATTGCGACGACGATCGCTATCCGATACGCTGGGGGAGGGAGTCACCGAGCATACGAATGCGGCGTTGACCCAACGTGGACGACCGCGTAAAAACGCGGAAACTATAAATTCGACAGCCGCTCGACCGCTGACGAGAATTGGCCGGTCTGTGTGCGCGCGCGTTTCTTCCCCGTGTCGCAGGATCACGTGCGGGACATCACGGACTCGTTCATCAGCCTGTGTGCGGAGCGCAACGACGACAAGATCATGGCTGGGTTAAGTGACGAGCAGGTGGTCGCCACGGTCATGGATATTTTTGCCGCAGGTGACCACGCGTGCGAGTGGGAAACGCCGCGCGTGCGAGTTGTACACCGCCAACCAGGCAAAGGTTCATCTTCTTGGTTCTTTCGGTAAAGTTACATAGAAGGGAAGTAATAAAATAATAAAAATTAAACATAATAAAATAATTCTCACGACGTTTCATCCACAACGCAAGCAAGCTGCTGCTTGCGTTGTGGCCGAAACGTCGTGATAATTATTTTATTATGTTTTATTTTTATTATTTTATTACTTCTACGTGACTTTACCGAAACGTCGTGAGAATTATTTTATTATGTTTTATTTTTATTATTTTATTACTTCCCTTCTACGTGACTCTACCGAAAGAACCAAGAAGATGAATCCCTGCAGTCACGAAAGCTTTAAATCGAAATCAGGCAAAGGTGATCATCTATCGTTCGCCGCGTTGCACAAACAACGACCGGGCGCGCACTCTCACGGCCCGGCTCGCCGATCGATGGAGAATAGTGGCAGGGGAGAAAGCCATTCGATGGGCAAGTCACAGTGGCAGGTGGAATGCTGCCTCAGCATCACCCTCTCCGAACAACATTGACGTGGATCGGTGCACAACACGTCCGCTGTTGTTAATGTTTCCTTTCGAGGTCTGGGGAGTGTCACTGTTGACGAATGTGTTAAGTTCTCTGAGCACTCTGCTCTAGTTTACTTCACACCTTACACCTCGCCGTGTGTGTGTATATCTTACCTCGATTTGAAGCTTTCGTGACTGCACAAATCCATACTCTTTGGTTCTTTCGGTAAAGGCACGTAGGTAGAAACAAGTATAACCCTAAAAACTAAGTTTTTCACTATAAATCCTTTATATGCGTGGCGGCTAGAGTCCTCTCGTCCTCTGGCTTGAGATGGCTGCCACCTATGGGTCAGATGATTGCATGGCACCATTAAGCAATTGGTAATTAAATATAATATTTTTGTCATAAAAAGTGCACAATTTTGGAAAATACATTTCACGAACATTAATTGTCACGCACAATGAGTCTGTGTGCAAAATATCAGCTCGATTGGATCACGGGAAGTGGGTTAAAAAACGACCGAAAGATTTGCACGATCGTAAGCAAGCAAGCAAGCGCGCAAGTGAACTTAATATAAAGGATTTTAAAATATCATAGATGACAACGTTTTGATTGCAGCTGCCGACGTCAGCAGTCCTCTGCTGCTGTGTTTGTTTCACACCTGATGACGGTTGCTTGTGTTGCTAACGAAACGTCGTGATCTATTATATTTTTTCTACCTACGTGACTTTACCGAAAGAACCAAAGAGTTTATCTTACCTGTCAACCTATACGGTTTACATGTGTAATGCGGGCGTAAATGGGCGGGGCGGATATGACGATCCAAGAGGGAGGAGTCAGGGTGACGTGGGGGAGAAGTTATAGCGGGGAGACAGGAAGCTATCTGGGTCAGTCGGGGGAGTGAAGGGTGGTGAACACGTTGGGTGGTCGCCGTGCCTCAGCCTGGTGGCTGAGGGGCTCATGACGGCGCCAGCCAGCGGGGTGGAAGAGAGAGTGGAGGATTGAGGTTGGAGATGGCGAGATAGCCACAGAGGCCACGAAGGGCAGAGGTAGGAAGTGGCGAGATAGCCACAGAGGCCACGAAGGGCTGAGGTAGGAAGTGGCGAGATAGCCACAGAGGCCACGAAGGGCTGAGGTAGGAAATGGCAAGATAGCCATAGAGGCCACGAAGGGCTGACGTTGGGAGGTGGCTAGATCGCCACGCACGGAGGAACAGGGAGCAGCGATGGAGCTGCTGTGGGGGGAGCCGGAGGGCTGCACCAAGAGCCTGCAGCGGAGCTGCAGGAGCGTGGAAGGCTACGGGAGCGAAGGCAGATGTGGGGCTGCCAGGGAGAGAGTCTCAGGAGGAGTGCCGTGTGGGAAGGAGAACGCGAACCCCAAATAAAGGACACGGAGTCAGCGAGAAGCGTCTGAGTCCTTTTATTACACATGTATTCTTGTACAGGAAAACTGAGAAATATCAGGTCCATACGGCGTACGTCCGTCTCAAAATGTTTGTGTTTCTCCCTTGCGATGGGACTTTGTAGGATGAACGTTGAGATGTATAAGGGGCAGGGGTGACCAATAAGGTCTGCATTGGTTGTAATAAGGTAGTCACTGAAAAGGGGTTGACAGGTATGCCATATATACTGTAAAATCTGTTAAGGTCTTTCCTGAAAGAGAGAATTAACTCAATTGTGGTTGGCTCTCTTGGGTGCAGGTTTCCATCCGTCGTTTATTGAGGCCGCTCCGTTTGGCTGACAGAGCTAATAAGGCAGGCACTGATAAGGGGTTGACAGGTATGGTATATCTTTGTGTACGTAACGGTAATGCCCAATGTGCGTCCCCTGTGTGCCGCACAGGTTTTGACACGATCATTGCTGGCATCATGTGGTCCCTCATTTACCTGTGCATCTACCCCGACATTCAGAAGAAGCTACAGAAGGAGATCGGTGAGAGGCTCTTTGATCGCTCGTCTCATCATCTCACGTGGTCGAGGAGTGGAGGACAAATGATTGTATGAGGACAGCATCTTCCAAGGAACATCCTCGGACATTGAATGCAACTGTGTGTCCCACTTTCTTCAAACAAAATGTGTTCCGCGCTGTGTTCATGAGATAAATTGAAGCGCTCGTGTGATAGATCCGAGGGTTCGTGCAGGAAGATCAAAGGGCTCGTATGATAGATCGAAGGGTTCGTGGTAGATCGAAGGGATCTTGCGGTAGATCGAAGGGTTAGTTTGGTAGATCGAAGGGCTCGTGCGGTAGATCGAAGGGTTAGTGTGGTAGATCAAAGGGCTCGTGTGATAGATTGAAGGGCTCGTGTGATAGATCTAAGGGTTCATGGTAGATCTAAGGGCATGGTGCGGTAGATCGAAGGGCTCATGTGATAGATTGAAGGGTTAGTGTAGTAGATCGAAGGGCTCGTGTGGAAGTACGAAGGGCTCGTGCGGTAGATCGAAGGGCTCGTGCGGTAGATCGACGGGTTAGTGTAGTAGATCGAAGGGCTCGTGTGGAAGTACGAAGGGCTCGTGCGGTAGATCGAAGGGCTCGTGCGGTAGATCGACGGGTTAGTGTAGTAGATCGAAGGGCTCGTGTGGAAGTACGAAGGGCTCGTGCGGTAGATCGAAGGGCTCGTGCGGTAGATCGACGGGTTAGTGTAGTAGATCGAAGGGCTCGTGTGGAAGTACGAAGGGCTCGTGCGGTAGATCGAAGGGCTCGTGTGGTAGATCGACGGGTTAGTGTAGTAGATTGAAGGGCTCGTGTGGAAGTACGAAGGGCTCGTGCGGTAGATCGAAGGATGTGTCTCTGGGCGACTTTTTTCCAGTCACTTATTCTTGCCAAATGAAGCACACAACAGCAGCCGGAGTCTCGTTCCACTGCCGGTGATGATCGTGCAAAAAGTTACGCGTGTGAGAGAAGGGAGCTTGTGTGTGTGTGTGTTGAACTTCTTTCGCACCGTACGTAGCCAAGCGTGCTCATTTGAGGTGCGGGGGGAGTTTGCATCCCGCTGTACGTCGGTGCGGTTCCCTGTCTGGCGCTCGGCAACTTGGCAGCAGGAAATCCCAACTTCGAAATGAACCATTTTGGTCACGTTGCTTACTGCGCAGCTCGTCGTAAATAGAACTTCAGCTCTTTGATTATCTTGACTGCGGGGATCTCCTTGAAGTTGCTCGATGTGGCATCAAGCGAAACGTCGCGTATCCAATCGCTGCTTAATTGGTTCTGAGGGTTGTCCTTCAGCTCACACCAGTGGGCTAACTCAAACGACATTGATCAGGCGCTTCGTTAAATGCTTGTACCGCACACCAGCGTGACGATCTAAGTTGCTCCGCTATGCCGCGTGCTTGAGGGTCTTACGCCTGAAATTAGTCTCGATTGTTTCGAGGTTTATCCCAAAAAAATAAATTTAAAAAGCGTGGATCAGTTCAATTCCCGTTTTACACTTCGCATGATTGACAGCGACGACATGGCATCCATTGCTGCCGCAGAAGCCGTATTTGCATTAGTGACCGGGCGTGGGATTTTTTAATGCGAACGTGAATGTTCCTTGCTGTTGCTCTTCTGCCCCCCCCACACCCCATGCGTTCCGAGCGAACGGCAGCACAACAGTCGCGCCGTGTTTGTGCGTGCGCGTTTCCCCGTCAGATGAGAAGATCGGCGGGAACCGAGCACCTGTCTCGAGCGACCGCAGCAGCTTGCGTCAGCTGGAGGCCTTCATCACGGAAATGTTCCGCCACTCCTCCTACTTGCCATTCACCATACCGCACTGGTATGGTGAACGTTCCGCCACTCCTCCTACTTGACGTTCACCATACCGCACAGGTATGGTGAACGTTCCGCCACTCCTCCTACTTGCCGTTCACCATACCGCACAGGTGCCGGCGTGAGCGCGCGAGTCGGTGCAGGGTGGCGTGGCGGGCGACGCTTGTGCACCTTTCTGTGTGCTTGTTCTGTGAGTGAGTGGTGAGTGAGTGACTTGATTGTGAGTGAGTGCGTGGCGTTTGCTCCAACAGTCTGTTAAGGCTCCATGGGTGGTCTTTGGAGTTTGGGGAGCGGTGGCGCAGCGGTTGGCGCTCTGCGCTATGAACCCGGCAACCCGAGTTTGATTCTCGCTCGCGGCCAACATCAGTGACGGTTATTCCAACCGGTCCTGGAGTTCTCCTACGTTGGCACAGCCTCAAACGAGTCCCCTGGAGCGTTGCGTAAACACCGCCACTGAGGAGACAAAGGCGTGGTGGTGGCCACCCAGCCCCTCGTGTGCCATGTCGGCCTTCATAGGTGCTCGCTAACAGCACTTGCCCAAAAAGTCTATTAAAGCTGCAGTGACATCGCAGGATGTCAATGTGCAGTGCCGGCCCGAGAGAGGCATGGCGTGCGGTGTAACGACATCGCAGATACCACCGTAGTCTGGGTGTAGTACCGGCCCTAGAGGGGCCCGGTGAGCACTGATTGATAGCTCGAGATGGCACCACGCTTTGCGTGCAGTGCCACCCCTACAGGACAGGGTGTGTGGGTGCCGGCCGAGGAATGAGGTTACTCAAGGCCATGGCACTCTAGTTGACCCGGGAGGACACGTGACCGGTCTACAAAGGGGCCCCAAGTGGGGGCTAGAGGTGGTCACGTGGTTGGGACCCAGATCCTTCCCGAGGATTCTGGAAAGTGGTCGTGGCCAAGGGCGGAGCCAGCCACGCCGCAGAGAATCTCAGCCGGGTCCCGTGAAGGACCAGGGTTGTTGTTCATCCTGGAAGAAACCCTTCATCTACATTCTCTGTTCAACGAGTCTCCAACACGTGGACCTGGACCCAAGCTGTTGGTCCCGGTCCATAGTAGCAGTTACGTTGTAACTAGTGTAGTTAGCCTGGTGGTCACCACCTGGTTAACTACACCAGTTACGTTGTAACTAGTGTAGTTAGCCTGGTGGTCACCACCCGGTTAACTACACCAGTTACGATGTAATAATATAGTTAGCCTGGTCGTCACCACCATAGGTTGTTATTCTGTTAAGGAGAAAGTTACTCCATGTGTTGGAGTTAAATAAATGTGTTGCCTCCAAGTGTACGTCTGCGACTCAGTTGAACTCACTACAAAGCTATAAAGGGGTTTATATCGTATGTGGAGTGTGTATGTTCTCCCCCTGTTCTGCATGGGTTTCGTCCGGGTTCTCCTGTTAAGTTCCCTAGCGAGACACACACACTTATAATGTGACTGTTATTGGCCAAATGTCCCAATGCTGAAAACATACCTGCATTTAGGATCACACAGCAGCAGCCTCACACTGTACTGTGAAATCCTGGCAGGACACTCCTGAAAAAGAGTCTTGAGACTCAGTGAGGCTTTCCTGGGTAAACTAGTGTGATAATGTATAAGAGTAAAAATGCAACCTATGAAGTATTAATAACAATGCCCTTTTACCGTCACGGCCTTGCAAACATGAACTTTAGCTCAATGATTACGTGCTAAAACTTCTTCTGAAATGGTTAACACACGCAGTGTGATGGAACATCCAGAACCTAACCTGGATGTTCCCGTCACGAGGATCGCATTTGTGCTTTTCGCCTTTTTGCAGCACGACGCAAGACGTGGTGCTGGACGGCTTCTTCATTCCGCGGGACACGTGCGTGTTCATCAACCAGTACCAGATCAACCACGACCCGTACGTACGCCTGTGAAGTGTCGTTGAAGACGCGTGGACAACGGGGTAAGGCACACGTATTTATTTATACAAAGGGCTTACAGTACTAGAGGGATGTATCGGCCCCCTCACCCGTACAACTGGGAATTCACCCCTAGCTAGCCTTCCTAGCTGAGTCCTCCGCTAACGGGCTAGGGGAGGCTGTCTGGCCCGACACTGGTTAGTCGGGCTACGGTACCCGGAATCCCAGAGGTCTGACTCTGGTTCCGGGACCACGCCACTGGCTCCAGCCTGCACTGCCCTTACAAGGGCGGCGTCCCAGGGGGAGTCCAGGGCCTATCTGGCTGGTCTTCTCTCTTCTCTTCTACTCTAAGACTGAGCCCCGAGCTCTCTGGCTCAACCCTTTTTATACCCCGTTAGAGGATCGAAACCCCCCTCACGCCGTCCAGTACGGACGTCGTTGCGGGCACCACCCCGTGTGCTCACGGAGACCCCGCCCACTGTGTCTGTTTTCCATTAGCCCCTATGTAAACAGCCCTACACAAACAGACCCTCTGTAACAGCCCTACATCACCCCCCCCTGTACAGCTCGCAGCCGTCCCGGCTGCAACAACTTTCAATAAAGGTTATTCAACCCCTGGATCCCCGCGTGTGCCTTAAAAAAAACGTTTTTAACGCTAACTTGAAGGAACCAACAGTAACAACAACAACAACGACAATGACAACAACAAAACCCTCAACCCCGAAAGGGAACAATCCGACGCACCCCCCCCCGAATAAATACGGATACCGTAAGAACGCTATATACAATTTGTAGCGAAGCCACAATGCACACCAATGGGCAGGGGACACCCCCCCCCCCACACAACACACAATGAACACAACATATATATACAAATCTTGCGGTTCCTCAACAGTCTGCGCATTTTTGCGCGTGTCCTTGCGGTTTCACAACAGTTTGCGCATTTTTGCGCGTGTCCTTGCGGCGGGCCCCTCACACGGGGGAACCCCGGGTGGCGGACCGTCAGGTGGCAATCGTCCGTCCGGGAGCGGGGCCTCCTCTGATGCCTCGTGACTGTTGGTATCCCCAGAAGGGGTGGTCGGGCGTGAGCCCGTCAGTCTCGATGCACCTGGAGGTGGCACGGCCGGCAAGGCATTAGGTGAGCGCGGTGGGGACGGACCTAGTGAGTCGGTCGACCCCCCACACGTCTGGCCACGCATGTGTGAAGTGGGTTTGTGTGCCGCGACGAAAGGTTTCAACCGAGAGGGGTGCACGAACCATCGCCGCTTCCCCCAACGAATGCGCACGCACTGTGGTCGCAGGACCTCGACCACTTCCACAGGCCCCCGCCACGGTCGCGCCAGCTTTGGGGAGGTAGCCAGGGGTACTTGGGGACAGTGCAACCATGCCCTGTCCCCCGGTTTCCACTGTATGACATGCGCTCGACCCAACCTGAGGCGCTCGTTCGCCTTTTGACGGAGGTCCGAGTTTAACCTCGCAGCATCCCGTGCCTCTGTTAACTTAGCCAAATTAAATTTGACGTGGTCAGCCAATTTTGTTTTACCTTGCTGGTCGGGGATCTGCAGCTGGGCGCAAACAGGCGGGTCGGGTTCGCGACCGTACATAAGGTAAAAGGGGGAAAACCCCGTAGCTGCATGGGGTGCCATCCGATATGCCGCCAAGACCCCCTGAATATGCAGGTCCCAATCAGTCTGGGAATCTGAGACCTGCTGTGCCATCATTGACGAAATGGTGCGATGCAGGCGCTCGACCATTCCGTCAGTCTGTGGGTGATACGGGGAGGTCCGAATTTTCTTTGTGCCTAAGAGGTCACAGACTTGTTTAAGTAATTTGCTGGAAAAATTTTTACCCTGGTCGGTCAGCAGCCGTTCCGGGGCACCTTTGTCCAGGACGTAACCCTGAACAAAGGCGTCCACGATGGCTGCTGCCGACTGGTTGGCAAGGGGCCAGGCCATGGGCCAGCGCGTAAAATACTCGACACCTGTCAGCAAATACTTATTGCCCCTGGGGGTGGCGGGAAATGGGCCCAAGATGTCCAGTGCAACCAGCTCATTTATTCTGGACACCTTGATCGATTGTAAAGGCGGGTTAGACTCCCGCGCCGGCGGTTTCCGCTGCGCACACCGCGGGCATGAACTCAGAAGATCCCCCACATCCTTTGTCATACCAGGCCAAAAAAAATCTAGCTGTATTAGTGCGAGGGTCTTTAGAGTCCCCAGATGTAACAGGCGCTCATGCGCGGCCCACACCACTTTGCCTCGCAACTCCGAAGGGACGACCAGCCGATGTCGCTGTGATTTTGCGTCCCAGTGCATGAGCAGACCCTGTACCATTTCCCATGCACCCGAATCACCTTTCACCCGGCCAGCACCCCCGACGCGACGACGCCACCCGAGGAGGGAGGTGTCCTCCATTTGGAGGCGCCCCCACTCAGTGACGGGCAACCCCAACAGGGAATCCCTTCCCTGTTGTTCGATAGAATTATCAGCCAGTGGCTCGTCATCGTCGGTGGCTGCCAGGATCGGGACCGATGCGTCCCCTGAAGGTCTGCAACGTCCCGACCCCAGGAGGCATGCACATTCCGAGGCGGTTGGCATGCGGGACAGAGCGTCCGCGTTGGTATGGCGAACGCCCTTACGGTAAGTGGTCTCAAAATCAAAATCCTGGAGAACCTCCAACCATCGAGACAACTGTCCCGATGGTTGCTGAACTCGCAGGGCATACTGTAGTGCCGCATGATCTGTGCGGACGGTGAAATGCCGACCGTACAGATATGGGCGGTATTGTTGGATGAAAAAAACAATTGCCAACAGTTCTCTACGGGTAACACAATATCTCTGCTCCGCAGGAGACAACACCCGACTACCGTATGCGACCACCCGTTCAACGCCATCAACCACCTGGGAAAGCACACCCCCAATACCCGTGTTGCTCGCATCGGTGTCGAGCAAAAAGGGTTTCGAAAAATCAGGGTAGATCAAGGGAGGGGCTTTCACCAGGGCGTCCCGAAGGGAGCGGAACGCAGCCTCCTCCTCTTGACCCCAGTGGAAACGAACCCCTTTAGATGTTAGAGCGTGCAGGGGTTTTGCAATTGTTGCAAAATCAGCAACAAACCGTCGATAATACGACGCGAACCCAATAAAACTCCTGACCTCTCCCACTGTAGTGGGAGTCGGCCAGGAGCTGACACACTGCGTTTTGGCGGGATCGGTAGCAATACCCGAGCGTCCCACGATGTGCCCCAAATAACGCACCGAATCACGCAACAAATGGCATTTTTGGGGCTTAAATTTCAAATTAGCAGCCCGCATCTTTAGGAAAACTGCCCGCAACCTCTGGAGATGGTCATCAAAAGTTTTACTAAAGACGATAACGTCATCCAAATAAATGAGGCACGACTCCCATTGCAGTCCAGCCAAAACCAATTCCATCAAACGCTGGAAAGTTGCCGGCGCTGAGTGCAAGCCCATCGGCAACCTGTTGAATTGAAACAAGCCGTGCGGTGTACGAAAAGCAGTTTTAGGCTTAGACTCATCATCCAGAGGAAGCTGCCAGAATCCCGAAAGTAAATCGAGTGTGGAAAAGAATCGCGCTCCCGCCAAAGCGTCAAGCGATTCATCCATCCGAGGGAGCGGGTATGCGTCGGCAACCGAAATTTTATTAAGACGCCGGAAGTCAACGCAAAACCGCAACGAACCGTCCTGCTTTTTAACCAGGACGATCGGCGCTCCCCAAGGGCTGGTGGAAGGAGAAATGATGTCCGCGGCTAACATGTCATCAACAGCCGATTTGACATGTTCCTTTTCGGCGGGACTCAACCGAAACGGATTTTGGCGAATTGGCGCGCTGTCACCCGTGTCAATATGGTGACGCAGCAAGTGAGTGCAGCCCAAATCATATTTATCTCGACTAAAAACGTCGGAAAATTCTCGCAATAGCGTTTTAAGTTGTTGACGCTCTGAATCGGACAGGTCCGTCGATCCCGCACAAAGCGCCTCGAGCCACCCTTCATCGCTGTCCGAACGCGGTCGCGACGCAGGGACAGTGTTGACGGAATTTACGGCGGGCTCCTCACACGGCACCGGCGTTGCGTGAGCAAGCACGGTCCCCTGTGGGAGCACCACCGTCTGCGAGCCCACGTTTAGGACCGCGATGAAGGGTTCACTATCCCCTCTCACTATGGTCTGGGCCGGTAGTAAATCAGGTCCACTAACCCCGGCCCTAGACGGTCCCAACAGTACCCCTTGCGCCCCGGCACCCTTAACGAGGGGCCGCCGAAGCTTCAAGGGCACCAACATTTGCGTTCCCGGAGGAACGCGTACCGTTCTCTCCACGAACGCCGGCACCGTCGCGAACGCCGTCCGAGTCGCAACTGGTGATGGCAGGAACGCCATGCGTCTGCCCGATGGAAGCTCTATGCACCCCTGGTCGATCAAAATTACAATCGGCATTTTGGCCAGGAAGTCCGTCCCCAGCAGGCACGGAACCGCCAGCGAGGACGAAACAAAAATCGGCCCAGACAATTTAATTTCCCCAATACAAATTTGGGCACGAATTTGTCCGATGATGCCAAGTGAGCCCCCGTTAGCCGCATAGAATGGTACGTTAACAGGCATCAAAGGACGGCTCCGGACAGGGAGAATATTGTAAATTAATTCCGAAATAATAGTTGCCGATGCCCCCGTATCGACCAGGATGCGCACTTCCACCCCGTCGATATATCCTACAACGGCCGACGACCCCAACGATGCGGCAACCACACGATCGGCCAGCACGGACCACTGGCCGGGTTCGATATGGGTACCCGGAGTGGTGCGTGGTGGTGCGATGGTGCGTGATACCGGCCCCCCTCTCGTCGCGGTGTTTGAGTGCGTGACGGGTGTGTGTGTGGGCCAAACGTGTGGGGTGCCGCGACTCGCCGGTTTTTGACGGTGGAGCTTGGGATGAGGCCCGTCGTCCCGGTGAGGTGTCGTCCCGCGCTGACGAGGAGAGCGGCACCCCGAGGCGACGTGGCCCCGGACGCCGCAGTTATAACACCGCGGGAGCGATGTCGGAGGTGACGAGTGGTCGGAACGGCCTGACCCGTCCTGGCCCGGCCGTGCACTCGTCGCCTGTTGCCGTCGGTGGTCGACGGCGTAGAGTTCCTCCGTCGGAAGGGTGGCTGCAGCCACCGCACGCCCCGCCGATGCCCTGCTGGCTTTGCGTCGAAGCGACAGGAGGTTTGCGTGGAGGAGCCGCGCCGCCTGGAGCGATGTCATTTCCGCGTCCTCCTGTGCGACGACAGCGATGTCTAGATCGTCGGCCAGGAGGAGTATCTTCTCCGTTACCATAGCGTCGATGCCGTCGTCATCCATCCGGGGGAAGGCCGACTTGGCCATCGCCAGGAGGCTCGTTCGGTACGCTAGGGGCGACTCCTTCTCTCCCCGCTTGCGGTCGTAGAACTCTTGTCTGCATTCCGCCGACGGTCCGTAGACCCCTCCCAGCAGCTGCAGCGCCATCGGTAACGTGGAGCGCCTTTCCTTGGGTGCCGATGTTAGGGCGGCAAGCGCGTCGCCGTCCAGGAGCGCCGGCAGGGCGCTGAGAGCTTCTTCGTCCGTCCATTTAGCCATCTCCTGGTGGGCGAGGAAGCGTCTTTAAAAGCCGCTCCAGTCGCCCTCTGCGCCCACGAATTCTTTAAGCGGGGGCAGCCTTTGGTGTAGCGCAGCGGCTGCCGTGGAGTCCCGTGGACTGCTGCCTCCCCGACTCGGCTGCGTCTCGGCGCGAATGGCAGATGGCATCGCCTGTCGCAGCTTTGATGACGCGCCCTCCTCCGTCGTTGATGCAGCAGCCCCAGCGCGGGCGATGTCGGACCCCAGGTTGAGGTTGGCCACGCCCCTAGCGGTCGCTGCGTCGATGGCGGGAATTTCAAAATTTAAATCTTCAGAAATGGCGGGAAGACGCTCCACACGCCGGTTCCTCTCGCCCCGCGGTGGACCACCAGCCGCCAGCCGTGTGATGTCCCCCAGCGCAGCGGCAGCGGCGTAGAGCAGTTCCGCCAGCCTCTCATGAGCCAGCCTCAGGTCGTCTCCCCGCTGCTCCTCTTCATGGCGATGCTCCGGTAAGCCCGCATCCGGCCCCGGCTGCACGTCGTCTAGTAGAGCCATCTCGGGCTCGGCAATTTCGGCGGCGTCCTCCGCCCGCTGTTCCCTGGCTCGAGCTGTTTGGCGCGTGTCCATGTTCTTGGTACTTCTGACGCCAGATGAAGTGTCGTTGAAGACGCGTGGACAACGGGGTAAGGCACACGTATTTATTTATACAAAGGGCTTACAGTACTAGAGGGATGTATCGGCCCCCTCACCCGTACAACTGGGAATTCACCCCTAGCTAGCCTTCCTAGCTGAGTCCTCCGCTAACGGGCTAGGGGAGGCTGTCTGGCCCGACACTGGTTAGTCGGGCTACGGTACCCGGAATCCCAGAGGTCTGACTCTGGTTCCGGGACCACGCCACTGGCTCCAGCCTGCACTGCCCTTACAAGGGCGGCGTCCCAGGGGGAGTCCAGGGCCTATCTGGCTGGTCTTCTCTCTTCTCTTCTACTCTAAGACTGAGCCCCGAGCTCTCTGGCTCAACCCTTTTTATACCCCGTTAGAGGATCGAAACCCCCCTCACGCCGTCCAGTACGGACGTCGTTGCGGGCACCACCCCGTGTGCTCACGGAGACCCCGCCCACTGTGTCTGTTTTCCATTAGCCCCTATGTAAACAGCCCTACACAAACAGACCCTCTGTAACAGCCCTACACCTGCATTGACGCGACGGCACAGGGCAGCGCGCCGACGCACACCGGGGTGCCGTGTCGCATGTGTAGACTTTTTATTTTACCAGGTAAGGCCCACTGAGCTATATAGCTCTTTTTCAGAAGCGACCTGGCCGCAAATGAAAGCTCAACGAAGTGGCTTGTCACGTGGACATTTATAGCAGTAGCCAAATACTCTAAACGCACCTTGATTCAAAATTTAGAGGGTAAAAAACCAGAGGACCCGGACAAAATTGCACGTGACCACAGGGAGAGAGAGACACGCAAACTCCAAATACACAGCAGCAGGCGTCAGGGCCGGGATCGAACCCACGACCTCCTGTGTACTAGGCGAGGGAGACACCGGTGGGGCGACCCTCCACCGTATCTCACCGTATACACCGCGTGGCGAGCGTATGCCCAGCGGTGCGTGCGTGTGCACACACGCACGCGTAGGCTGTGGTAGCCACGGCCAGGGGCGCGTCTCCCTGCTTCTGTGACGTCTCTGCGTTTGTCTCCGCCACCCTCTCACCAAAAATGCACTCTCTCCCGCAACTCTCTCTCCCCGTAACTCGCTCCTTATTCACTACACCCCCCCCCCTTCATCCGCTTGCTACTCTTTTGCCAACCTGTGTGGTTTTGTTCAACCCCTCATCCACCTACCGAGTCTTCCGATGTCCCTGTCCCAGTCGCCCGACTTCCCATCGGAATCTCCACACCACTGGGGCGGTGACATGGCCCAGCGGTAGCATGCTCGCTGCTCGTTGCAGAGGTCCAGGGTTGTAATCGGGCAGGTGGCCCTGGTTAGTACTGCAGGTTTATTAGCGGTAAGATATAATGCTATCTGCTTCACAGTGGACTTTTAAAGATTCCTGACGTCGTCCGAAAAGAATAGGCCATTGTGTGCTGGCATAATGGCCCAAAGTAGCATAATTTTAATTACCCGCATAATACTAATTACGCACACACAACCCCTAGTTCAAGTTCAAGTTCATTTATTAGGTATAGCCCTGTGAGCCATTCGGCTCTTGAATTGGGTGCAACCGCAATAGTGGCAGATTCACACCCACTTGCAGACCAGATGCAGCCACCTTCCACACGGGGACAGCTGCCACTAGGGGTGCCTTTTGAAAGTATTGAGATGAGTTGTGCGTCGCTTATGTCATCTTAAGTGCTCCGAAATGCTCTGGTGTGAACGGCGCTCTATCAAAAACAAACAATTATTGATTATTACCGTCGCTGGAGTAGAATCGTGTGCTTGTGAAGTATGGGAATTGACGGCAGGAACTTCTTGACGGGAACACACTTTTTATTAAATCTTTACGTGTCAAAATACAACGTGTAGTCTCCTTTCTTCCGACTTCACACTCCACTACTCTCGTGTAAACTCTAGGCCTCTGGCTACACACGAAACCCTTCACTCGTGTAGACCCTACGCCTCTGGCTACACAATACACTCGACTCGTGTAGACCCTATGTCCCTGGCTACACAATACACTCGACTCGTGTAGACCCTATGTCCCTGGCTACACAATACACTCGACTCGTGTAGACCCTATGTCCCTGGCTACACAATACACTGCATTCGGCTCGTGTAGACCTTACGCCTATGGCTACACACACTACACTCGCCTCTGGGTTACACAGAGTCCCGGTCCCGTTAGGACAGCGGGACTAGGTACCGCAGGGCCCTAGGTCTTCATCCCCGTCTTCATTCTTCGCTGGTTACACACTGCCCTCACGCCTGTGTGCATCCCCTTTTATAGCCCCTGCTCACGAGAGGCGGAGCTGATGCGTACTTCAACGTGAGCATCGCTCCTTAATGAACCAATCACGACGCACTCTCTCTACGATCCGTTTTCCCCAGCGCGTGTTAACACTCCTCCACCAATCACACCGCGCTGCCACCCGATCACTCCCTCTCAGCACGTCACCGGTCCACAGCCAATCAGTACCCCGTAACCCACGACCCCGCGCTGACCCCTGATCCTCCACCGTCAGCGCACGTCACCACCTACACAGCCAATCATTACGCGCTGGCATACGATCTCTAATCCCAGCGCATATCACCTCTACACTTGTACTAACACTGTTGTCTTGCGCAGGACTATTTGGACAAATCCCGAGAGCTTCGATCCGAGCCGTTTCTTGTCGAGCGAAAGCGGCGAAGTGAACAAGGAGCTGACGGAGAAAGTGCAGATCTTCGGTCTTGGCAAGCGCCGGTGTCTCGGAGATACGGTGGCTCAGCAAGAGCTCTTCATCTTCCTCTCGACGCTGCTACAGAACCTCTCCACTACATCTCCACCGGGGCTGCCAAAGCCGGACCCCACCCCGATCTACTCCCTTGTGCTGAAGCCCGCTCGCTACAAAGTGTGCATCACCCCGAGGGTCTGAGACACCTCTCCGGAGTTTACCGTCGGAAACGGCGAGCAGAACAGGCTGTGAATGCACATTCTTCTATATAAAAGAAACATATATTTCCTTCCTCAATGTTAAGATCATTTCCATTCATGACCAAGAAATTTTGAAGCTATGTTAATCTGGGACATGACTGCAGAACCGCTTACACAGTTATAGGTAATCGTGCAAGCTAAGACTTGTCATCACTTCGGTTTAATAAAGGAGTTAAGACGATAAGCCACATAAAGTTAAGAGAGAACTGGGGGTGGTCAGGATCATTCACACGTCGATTGTCAAAGTGAAATAAATTTTACTTAAAATAATACGGCATAATTAATTACATGAACAATTTCATGTTAATAACATTAATGAATATAATACACATTCAAAATATATACCTACCTCAGCAACAGACTGGTTAAAGTGCACGGAGTGATTATGTCACGGCGGTCATGTTGCATGGAGATGTTTTCCGGGCAGCTGATTGGCCGGCGCAGTAGAAGTGATTACATAATCCCTAGCAACTCCTGCCACGCCTCTAAATTGCCAATCGTGCTAAGGCTCGCATATTTCCTTCGAATTTGTTTGTGTTTTGCCGTACAACATTTTGCATCATTCTACAATTTCTGCCTGCCCGATTTTATCAGCAAATTTCTGTACTCATGCCCCTGGTGTAGAACCCCACCGTTATTGATGGCATCTGGAACATGTTCCAGTGTGCATATTGCTGAAGAATCTGGTCACCAACTATTGTGCTTTAGTTTGTGTCCCCGAGCAAAAAAGAGCATATGGTCATATAGTTCATCCCCGTGCAAGTCAGAGCAGGTATTAATGTTCATTGGTTAGCCATGACAGAACAACAATCATTCAAGCACATCGTCGATCAGAATAGATTCTTATGTAAACAGCACATGCATCAAATCGTGCATTCAGAAAATATGATTTACGGTGAATGAAAATGATATACAAAGGCCGATGGGATGATTGAGGCAGTACAGGCAAGTCGGGTAAGACAGACAAGACAAATTAATCGATTATTCGATCAAATGAGACAAATCTCCACGTCCGTGGGGAGTCGCATAATCGCGATGGGGTGAATCGTCAGCAAGGCCTCGTCAATGTGCGGTAGCGGGGTAACCGTTCTTGCAGCATCCGTGGTGAGCAGCGGTGGGCCGCTTCCACTTCACCGATTGTAATATTACTGGTAGGAACCACCTGGTTCCACCAGCCCACAGGGGATTGTTGTGTCCGTCCGTCCGTCTTGCATCCAAAAATGGGAGGGGTCGGGCTGGGTGGAGAGGGGAGGGTGGGGAGGGGCTGGGTGGGGAGGGTGGGGCTGGGTTTTGAGGGGCTGGTCACCCCGTGGTGCCCTTATAAAACTCAACGTTTAACCTACTCACGCCGGCTTGTGCCCGCCCTCGCAGTCGGGCATATTTGCGGAATACACCACGCCGCCGTTGACCCTGGCCATTGACCGAGCAACCCAACGTTCCTACCAGCTCCCTCCGCAGGAAGGTGTTGCACGCACACTCATATATGCATGGCCCATCAATAAGGCGTTAAGTTGCTGCTTGTGTGAATGTATAAACTGCTTACGTGACGTTGACGACGGGATAATTAAACACGAGGACGGGCAGAGGTTGCTGTTGCTGAGATGAATACCTCTCCTCTGAGTGACAGTCAAAATCACCGTCGTTATTTTCACTTGTAACCTTTTGTAATTCACAAGGTTATTCCATCATTACAACACTAGAGGACGTAAATAGTTTTCTCTCTCGATAAAACACGTAATGGTTAAGACGACACTTTTACTATTTTATATATTTTTGTAAGCTACGCTGCACTGGTTTGTTCATCTCTGTGAGCCCGCGCTGCCCGTGTTTTGTATACATAACAAAAATAAAATCTACATTTAGTTTGAAAATGTGCAGTTATCTACTCGGTCTGGAATAATCCTCGTATTCAAGTATATATACATACATCATGGTAAAAAAATACACCCTTGAAATTGTACATGTGATGATTACCGCTCGTTTTGACTTGATTGTAATAATTTTGAAGGGTGGCTGAGACTTTAGCAGATACAGTACTCAATGCCTCCCCCAGCCGTGCTGGTAGTGCTGTTTAAATACCATTCCTGTAAACCCCTTATCAGTGCCCCCTACCTTATTACAGACCAGTGCAGACCTTATTGGTCTCCACTCGTGCCCTTATACATCTCAACGTTCATCCATCACAAGGGAGAAACACAAAGACAAATAGACACGCAAATGTGTGGCCCGTATTGAAACGGCTGTACGCCGTATGGAACTGAAAACTCAATTTCCCTGTACAAGAATACGGGGTGAACCGTGTGGGTTGACACGGTGTGATAATGCGGATCTGGAATGCCACGATCTCTAGGGGCACTCGCTTTCGCGTGTAACAATTCCATGGCCGTGATGGTGAGCAAAGTCGGAATTGAACTCGACGGGCCGTCACGCGTTGGTGGCCCACATCCCGCCGTCAATCCTCCCGTCTCAAACCCCCACGGCTCGATCCCCAAGGGTCAACGCGAGCATCAATCGGTCCGGTCGCGAACCCCAATCCCTTCAGTCCTCTCGCTCTCCTCCATCCCCGTTCGTCTCCCCCTGGCGCCGCTCTGGCCCCGAACAGTGGACGCTACCTCACTCGTGGCCCCACAAAACGGAAAAGAACATCACCCCCAAAGACACAGGAAAAGTTCCCCCGTGTAGGTGTAGACTTGGACAGGGCAAGTGCTCTTTGCCAGCATATATGAAGGCCGGCACGGCACGCGACGGGGTGGGTGGCCAGCACCACGTCCGGCCGCCTTTGTTTCAGTTTCATTTATTAGGTATATCCCTGTGAGCCATTGGCTCTTGAATCGGGTACAACCGCAACAAACAAAAATCATAAACAAGAAAACATATTCAAGTGACTATGCGCAAACAGAAAAATCTAGGAAAAAACTGCAAAGTCTTCCAGAAAAAAAGCACCGTAGACCAACGCTGTGCAAAACTCCCAGTGGGATGCAAGTCAAACAACAACAACCACAAGACAACTTAGATTAAAGCCATCATTCTAACTCTGTACTACATCAAACAAACATGGCAAAACCAAAAAACTTTTCCCGAGTGGCGATGGCTACTCATCACGCTAGGTGCAATGCTCATTTCAGGCCCAGGACTGGTTCAGTTCGCTGGTGTCGGCCGCGAGCGGGAATCAAACTCGGGTTGCCGGGTTCGTAGCGCAGTGCGCTAACCACGAGGCCACTGCTCCCCTATCACTCCTGGCACACACGCGCACGCTCTCATACTTATCAATAATTTACCACACTCGATGCAATCCTCTACTTTGTGTGGCCAACTTACCAATCGCACAAGGTTTATATTTGTGTCGGCTCTAAGCTGGACATCAGACTCTGGGACGTGACCTTCAAGAGTAGTCCCACTCCACTGTCATTGCGAACACTCCGTCTTTCTTTCAGTGAAAATATTTTTTAAATGTATTAAACGATCATATTTTTGAGAATACATTAAGAATGACAAAATGCTATAGTGTTGTTTACGTACTGTATATCATCATTGATCAATTACACTGCTGGATGAAGGCCTCCCCCACACCGCGTTGTTCACGGGGAATGTTTCACCATACTTTACCTTTCCGATCCAGAACTGGTTTGGATGTCACTCGCCACTGTCCCCCGCTATCAAAACAATCATCGTCTTTTTATTGTAAATGCAGCATAAAGCGTCCGTCGATGTCATCGCCATCATCATCAGCCAATGTCTATCCACTGCTGGATGAAAGTCTCCCCGTGCCACTGCGTCCCTCACACTTCTGCGATGCCTCAGTCCGTCTCGCCCACGTGGACCCACCTGGTCGCTCCACCTCCGCTCGGCTGCCATTCCCGTCATCATTCTCCGTCAATCGGCCATCGTTTCTTCTCGTTATGGGTCCCTCTAATAGACCCGTTTCCTCCATTGGTTGTCCCTAAACGTGTGCACGTTCCCCAAATCCGCGTGGTCTTCTTAACGCCTCTCAGGGTCAGTCCAAAGCATGCGCCCTTCCGTGCGCTTTTCGCGAACACTAGCCAGCTTTTGTTCCATTCTCTTTGCCGGAATCGGTGATCATCCACGTGATGTAATGAAGGTTGGCACCTTTGCGAAGCCGAATTTGATATTGAAAAGCAACGGCAATGTGCCTGAAGAAAACACATTTCCGCGCCCCCAGTAACCCGCACCCACAGTAACCCGCACCCCCAGTAACCCGCACCCCCAGTAACCCGCACCCCCAGTAACGCGCACCCCCAGAAACCCGCACCCCCAATAACCCGAACCCCCAGTAACCCGCACCCCCAGTAATCCGCAACACCGAGTAACCCACACCCCCAGTAACCCACACCCCCAGTAACCCGCACCCCCAGTAACGCGCACCCCCAGAAACCCGCACCCCCAGTAACCCGAACCTCCAGTAACCCGCACCCCCAGTAATCCGCAACACCGAGTAACCCACACCCCCAGTAACCCACACCCCCAGTAACCCGCACCCCCAGTAACGCGCACCCCCAGAAACCCGCACCCCCAATAACCCGAACCTCCAGTAACCCGCACCCCCAGTAATCCGCAACACCAAGTAACCCACACCGCAGACACGTGGTTCCGTGTTCCCCCAACCAACTTCAGCATGCCCCTGCACCACCATTACAAATGTAAACCGATCTGGGAATTCGTCATTCCTTTAATCTTTCCACTTCACCGAAAACGATCACGTGGAATTGATGCATCATACAATTATATTTGCTAATTTCTTATGGACAAAAATACGGGTTCGTTTTCTCAGAATAATAACAAGCAGTGGAAGATTAATGGCAAAGAAGCGCGTTGTGTAGAATTAACTTGTTTTCGTAGTTTTAACCGGAACTAATGCCACAAAAAAGTCAGTTATCTCCCTCGTCTGGTGTGCGCCCGCATGCCCGAGTGCTACTGTAAAAATAAACACGTGGACGGGGAGTTTTTTTTGTTCTTCCGAAAACATTGCCCGAGCGCGCACACGTGACTGGCGTCTGCGCCCCGCGACCCTTCCGTGAACCCGTGCAGAGATCACTTGTGGCAGTTCTCTTCCTCTGCTCATTTGAGTTTGCTTGAGGAATAAACATAACTGTGTAAACACGTGGACTACCACGCTACTGATCCCATTTACGTTAAAGCCTGATGTGTACTTATTCGAGAATTATTCAGCCGTCCCCTAATGTGCTGCAATTCAATATGTATTTTAAACGTGCATAGATGTGACCGCGTCTCTGAGTGCTGCCTATAAGCTAGTGTCCTGTCCAGCAGGTGAGAATTTCTTGAATTACGTCCTGTCTATCTATCTATCTTTCGTGTAGTGTTTGATATCAATTTGTAAGTGGGAAATCTAGTTCGCTCAGCAGAAAGCACAAAAGACCCATTGCGTTTCGCAGACTGTCCCCAGAAAAACCTCCACACGTTCATCCGCAAAAGTGGCATCGCAGGGAATGGCTACAAATCACAGCAAATACAGAGAGTGAATGGCATTCCAGCTCCCACATATACAGCACGATTGTATTCTTGCGCATGATGGCAATCTGTTCAGTAGCTGAATGACAATGTCGAGGTCTGCTGGCCACGAGAGGGCTTCAGAGGAGAGTTCGTGTCGTTTGCTCTTCCTCCTTCATCGAAGGAGATCAGACTTACAGTGGTTTATGATGTCGTCCATAGCAGTACCAACCCCACAGTGTGCGTGTGGGGTGGGGGTCATCTCCCTCCAGTACAGAGACCCCTATACCTACGAACGAGTTGGTTTCAGAGGTCTGTTCGTAAGTCGATTTGCTCATAAGTCCAACTTTACTCCTGTCCATTTCAAACATGTTGTACGGCATGTAGACCAAACAACCGGGCATGGCTTTAAAAGTTGCATAATCTCCTGTAGATGTAGACGCCACTGGTTATTCATGTTCTGCAGATGTCGATGCCACCACCGCCATCAATTGAACTTACGACTCTCGGTCCGAACAGGCAAATTTGACATACGGACAGGTTTGTTCGTATCTCTGCAGCTTCTTCAGTTGAATATTCGTAAGTTGGAGGAGTCCCTGTACATTATTATCTTTCTCTAGTACGATGGGGCTGCGTCAGCCATGCTCTGACGTTCATTTCGAGGTTGCCGAGTGAAGCGAGTGGGTGGGTGCCTTCAGCGGTTGCCTCGTGGCGCACATCTGACACCACGTTCGCCGCCGGTGAGTTATAGA